CTCTGTTCAAAGATGGTCGCTCACAGTGGACATAGATGGCTTCTTTCACTCCTCTTTCAAACCATCTGTCCTCTCTGTCCAAAATGTGAACATTGGCATCCTCAAAAGAGTGACCTTTGTCCTTTAGATGCAGATGGACTGCTGAGTCTTGTCCTGTGGAGGTGGCTCTTCTGTGTTGTGCCATGCGCTTGTGAAGTGGCTGTTTGGTCTCTCCAATGTAGAGGTCTGGGCATTCCTCGCTGCACTGTACAGCATACACCACATTGTTAAGTCTGTGTTTTGGCGTTTTGTCTTTCGGGTGAACCAGTTTGTCTGAGTGTTGCTGGGTCTGAAATGCACCGGGATGTCATGCTTGGAGAAAACTCTCCTGAGTTTCTCTGATACACCGGCTACATAGGGGATGACAATGTTGTTGCGTCTGTCTTTCTTATCCTCCCTCGCTGGTGTCTGATCTTCTTTTCTGTGCCTCTTTGCTGACTTTAAAACGCCCATTAGGATACCGCATGTTTTGAGTGCTTCCTTTACATGTGTGTCCTATGTAGCCGGTGTATCAGAAACTCAGGAGAGTTTTCTCCAAGCACGACATCCCAGTGTATTCAGACCCAGCAACACGACTCAGACAAAAACTGGTTCACCCGAAAGACAAAACTCCAAAACACAGACTTAACAATGTGGTGTATGCTGTACAGTGCAGGAGGAATGCCCAGACCTCTACATTGGAGAGACCAAACAGCCACTTCACAAGCGCATGGCACAACAAGAAGAGCCACCTCCACAGGACAAGACTCAGCAGTCCATCTGCATCTAAAGGACAAAGGTCACTCTTTTGAGGATGCCAATGTTCACATTTTGGACAGAGAGGACAGATGGTTTGAAAGAGGAGTGAAAGAAGCCATTTATGTCTACTGTGAGCGACCATCTTTGAACAGAGGCGGTGGTTTACGACACCGTCTGCCATCTATAATCCAGATTTGAGTTCCCTTCCCAGACGCCTTAACGCCCACTCACATCCTGGGCCATCTGACCTCAGGAAATCGCATGATAGGGTGGGGCCAGATTTCACAATGAGCTCACCCGAAACCCTGGCTGATTGTGACCCACACCCGTTTTCACACCTTGGCTCATGTGATTAGGTAGAGGATCATCAGGGGATCCTTTGTCCCTCTTTGGGGGGAAACTCCCACTGGGTTTAAATCTGAGACTCTCCACCATTTGACCTTAGAACTGAAGAAGCTTCTTGGATGAGAGGTGAAACGTCTTCAAGCAACTTAAAGACGTCCAGACGCTTTTCTTTCCAAGATCCTTAGACATGCTCAGTCTTACTTTTCCAGTTCTCTGCGTGTTTCCTGATCCAGGAGGTGCTCTACGAGGGGCACGGTGGAGCACAGGCACTGTAACACTGCATTTAAGTAGCAAGAGTTGCCAGAATTGTCTAACCCACACACTCCTGGTCTGTTCCAGTTGTTCTGCAGCCTCACTGCAGAGCTGCACCTGTGTTTTCCTTTCACCGTCACCTGACCACAGATGTTGGTGTTTGTCCTGCAGGAAAATTTAGTCAAGCAAAAATATCAAATATATCAATGACAGGATTTATTTGTTCAAATCTTCACATTAAAAGGTAACAATATTAAAAACCCTGGTTATCACATTAGAATGTGGTGTGTCAAGTGGTGGGATAGATAACACAGGAAATTAAAAATCAGCTACAAGTAGCAGTAAGGCTCTATGGCAGGTTATGTGGGGTGATGAGCAAGGAAGGAAGACAAAGTCAGAATCGGGTTATGGGTGCTCAAGGCTCAGTGATAAGTGTGGGGATCAAAGATCTAAAACACACACTTATAAATTAAATACTAAGCTAAATATAAAGTTTTCAGAATTTCGTTTTTTTCTGTTTGGCTTATTTCATTCATCAAACATTGCAGCAGCCATAAGACGTTGCAGAAGATCTGTGACAAAAAGCGGGACTAACCTTTGCTTACAAATATTTGAGACATTTTTCTCTTGGTATGAGCTGCTGTTCAGTCGTGGCAGAACGGGCACGGCGGTGCTGCTGTTCATGGCCAGCTGAGAGGCCAGAGTCCTGGTGAACTGTGTCAGGTTGACCTTCTTTCCTGAGCACTGGCTCTGCAGAGTGTGGAGCACAAATGTGTTGATGCAGATCACATGCAGCGTCACCCAAAGGCCTGGGAGGAATACATCCACCCCTGTTCCTTTTGGATCAGACAGGGGAACGAGGGCAGGTCCTGTCCAACCCTGCAGGTGGGCAATGAGTTCAGACATCATGGAGCCCTCAGGTGGTGAAGATGGTGGCCTCTTAACAGCGGGAACAAAATGAATGGTGAACCCTAATCTAGACAAGATGTGTGTGAGCCTTTCCTCCATCCAGGCGGAGCTATCCAGCTGAACCACACACCTGTGGTTGCAGAAAGGTCTCAGCAAGTGTCTGACCACCTGCTCGACAACAGATTTCTTACTCTGCCTCTGGAGCTGCTCTGGACAGTACAGATACATGTTACAGATGAACCCCGAGCTTGGGTCACAGAGGAGAGCGAGATAAAGAGAGTAGTGCTCCTGCTGAGAGGACAGTCTGTATTTCTTTACAGCCAGGTTTGGCCCCGGCGTATGGAGGGCCTGGTAGCGCTGGGTTATGTGGCCACAGAAAGCAGAGAGGACTTCCAGCTTTTCTCCATCCTCCAGTCTGGTCAGAGACAGCAGGTCGGCCTGGATGCTGTTTCTCTTTAGCACGCCCTGCCATCCGTCTAGTTTCACATTTAGATCATGCCCAAAGTTGCAGTTCTCCCCCAAAGACAGGCCGCTCTGCAGGACCACAGAAAACCACGTCACTGCATCAGCATACCCCTCCTCAGACACATCTGTGCTCTGCTCCCTGCTCTGGCAGTGTGACTGCCGATTTGGCCCTGCCTTCACACCGGCAGCTCTCCTGATCAGCTCCCGGATCGCTTCTCTGTCCAGCACCTCCAGCAGAAGCTCCCTGGCTGTGTAGTAAACCTGGCAATTGGGGCTGGGCCGAGTCTTTGTCAGAGGCTTCACCTTTTTGGACTTTTGGAAGATATTCGGTAAGCAAAGGGTGTCCCTCTGGGTAGCTTCACGCGGTATGTCCACCAGGTGGCAGTCCTCGGACATCCAGGCGCACTCCTTCACTGACAGAGCTTTGGCCTTCATCGTTCAACCTGTGCGCGCTAAGAAAAAGCCATCTCAAAATATGTATTTGTTTGGGAGCAAAAGGAGAAGATAGCCTCAGACGGCGGTGTTTTTAATATCCTGTGTGCTATCCGGAAAACTGTGTGTGCTGTTCATGTTCATCTGATCCTCAGGTGAATCCAGCGCTCAGGAGAATCCGCTTTTAGGTAAATCACCTGGGATCCGCAGTAGCCAGACAACTGTGTCCTGGCAACGTAAACACAGCGCTCGTGACGCGCTTCTGACTTGTGGTGCGCGTGACTCCAGGATTTAACTTGTCATTTAGCAAAACACTATGAAGAACTAACTCACGGAGAATGTGTTTACTGTGTATCTGTCGGGTATCGTTTGAGCTACGTGCAGTTCTTCAGAGTCTCCACTAGATGGTGCTCTGTGGTGAACCAGTGCGGCTTTTGGGAACCTACCAGGGACGTTAAACTGTGTGTTTTCAAAACAAAACAGGAACTTTTCTGTAATTGTTATTGTTTATCTATTACTTAATTACTTTGGTGTAGTTTGAATGGCAGTGATTGAGGTCTTTATCAGTAGGAAATGTTGTAAAACCTTTGAAACTACAGTTCAAAGTCCAAATTCAGTGCCCTCTGATTTTCCAAAGCTGCCCTGTGGGCCAGATTGGGGTCTTTGATGGGCCGATTCTGGACCACGGGCATTGTGTTTGACACCCCTGCTCTAATCTGTTTTTAATAATTAATTTTTTTAAAACACCTGACCAGGTGTGGCAGTTTCTCTTCCGCTGAAGAGTCCTCACTGGTATTGCGTACTGGTGATGGCATCCAACACGTCCCTAACTCCACCCTATATCATAACCTCCTGAAACAACCCCTATACTGCCGGTAAAATGTCTATAATGGGGCAGGGGTCTGGAAGAGACCCCAGAAGGTGCAAGAAAAGAGCAGGAGTCCCTCCTTCAGGTAAAAATGTTGAGGATCTGTTTTGAACAAAGCCATGTAGCATATTAAAAGTAAAGACTATCAACCTGTATGCACAAAGGCAAAGGGATCAGCATCCAGATCTCTGCAGTAAAGGTGCAGTTGAATCCATTTTAAGTATTGAGTTGGCCCATTCATTTTGTGTGCTGGTAATTGTTGCTTTGTTTTGCGGTTGGAGTTGCAAAGGTATGATCTTAGGTCTGGATTACTGTTGCAAAACAGTGAAAGGGCCAGTGATGGAAGCAGATACCGGTAAAGCTTTGTGGTTTTGATGGATCATATGGGTGGGGTGTTCAACCAAAATGCTTTTTTTTAAACCTGAGACAAACTATGAGTGTAAATATGTGTTAATTTACCTGTGATTAAAACTCAATTACTGGGCTCTTAAAAGAACAAATGGTAGCCGAGCTCTGTTTGGTTGCCTTTTTTATTAGTTATTTTGTGGCTCCAAGCAATAGGAAAAAAATACATATTTAAAGTGAATGGCTGTGAAAGCTAGTCGTATGATTTCAGTTTTTTTCTTATCCACACAGCAGCCTGGAGAAACAGACCTGAAAGCTGCAAATAGCTTGATCTGTTTCCCAACAAGCAGAACAGCTCAAGTTCATGTGCCTTGCTCAAGGGTCACAACTTGCATCAATAACAGCAGGAATTGGGAAAGTTGGATAAAGGTGACACCACTTTGGATTAGAAGGAATTGAGGAAAAGTGTGGGGGTTAGCACTGCTGCTTCAGAGCAAGAAGGTCTTGGGTTCAAATCCACCATGTAGTTAGGGCCTTCCTGTGTGGAGTTTTCATGTTTTCCCTGTGCCTGTGTGGGTTCTCTCCGGGTGCTTCGGTTTCCTCACACAGTCCAAAGACATGCAGTTAGTGGGTTAGCTGGTGATTCTAAATTGCCCATAGGTGTGAACGTGAGTGTGAATGGTCATCTCTCTGTGTTAGCCCTGTGAGAGACCGGTGACCTGTCCAGTGCGTATCCACCTCTTGTCCTAAGACAGACAGGATCGACTCCACGCTCTGTGACCCTAAATTAGATGGATGGCATTTCTTACGGGCAAAGAAATCAAATATAGCTCCCTCAACTGTGACATTTGTTGAGGGAGCACACACACACACACACACAAAAGGGTGTGACCTTGACCCAGTTTTCACCCAAATTAAGTCAGCTTGAGGTGTTACTGGTGTCTACCATTCCACAAAATTTTAAAATGACATCTTGAAGTCTGTGGCTGCTAGACTCCTAACAAACAGATAAAGAAACCACAACCGATCGTATACTCCCTCCCTTGTGGGAGAGAAAAATGTTACTCCAAATAGTTTTTTGTTCTCCACATAGTAAGCAGCCATAAAGTCTACAGTCACCAATTCTGGGTAAGTCATTGAAAAAGCTTAAAGGTTTTTCAGGATTGAGTTTTGGTAAAACATTAAATGGACTGCTCATATTATCCAAAAAGCAAACCATCAAGCGGGAGACCTTGTGTATCTGTCTCCAGGATGGCAGATATGCAGGCAGGCGCATTTCTGTTGAATATGTCCCCGATCAAACAAAGATTTAATATTTAACATATAAGTCCCTCAAGAGCAACTAGAAAAAGATTAACTGCATCACAAGTGGCAGTGATTGCCCTGGTGAATTATCTAAAACATAACAAGTTCCACATGGGTGGTGAATTAAAGGAAAAACAAAACAAAGAACAATGTGAAGTTTCTTGGGAAGTGCTCCAATGTGCCACTAGGACAACTTTACTGCACCTTGGCACGATGCTGTGACTGAGTTTCTAGTAACGTATTTGATGAATGGAACACCTTTTTACAAATGATGTTCCCTTATTATTTATTTTGACGATTCTGCACTACAGATGGAGGCATTTCCATCCTAGAAGAAACAGCTCCCATTAGGATAGAAGGGTTTTATCACAGGATGAAGATGATTTGCTCTTTTTTTTTTGCCACCAGATTCCTTTTCCATAGTGATTTAATGGTTCATGTTTTTCCTTTAATTTGTCACCCATCTGTCCATTTGTGTAAACTGTCTCTACTGCTGCTTTTCTTATCAGTAGGTGGTGCGAGGTTGGATCCAGAGGTGCAGACGTGAACCGGTGTGAACCTGTGAGTTCCAGTGTCATGGATTTGAGTTCACCATCCTCAGTGACACTGGTGCTGTTGTTTCACAGAGCTGCTCGCAACAGCACCAGATCAGTTCAAGAAATTAAGTCTGCTCACTTCCAGCCAAATTACTCAGCCAACATTTTGTGTTTTGACAAAACACGTATTTGCCTTCGTTAGAGCTGATCCAACATTCGCCATATGTGAACAGATAATCTGCTCGAAACCCTAATCACAGATAATATCACAAGCGATCTGGCTGTGAAATGCAGATAAATTTGGCAGAGAGGACGAAAACAAATAGGGTGTCGCATCTCTATCTAAATTGCAAACACGAGCCTCACGAATGCCCGCGTTCATTTCACGGCAATCCTGCTTTCTGATTAAAGCTCGCCTGATTTTTTTACCTGTAGCCTCTGTAAAATTATAATGACGTCATTCTTTCTGAGAAAGTGGCACATTTCTTTTTTTTTTTTTTTGTAGGAAAACTGCATAATTCTAATTCATGAGATGAATTTTAAAGGTGTTTTTCCACAGCGGATCTAAAGTATATGCCGAGTGTCATGATAATACCCTGCCTTCTGTCACCGGGGGTGGAAGAATCGCACAATTACCTCGAGGGCTCGGGAAGCTCTCTTGCATAAATCACATCCACTTTACGCTTAAAATATGTTAATCCATTAATATCAAAGGGCATCGTCTCTCCTTCAGCACACTCTTTGAGCTTTGTCTAATTTCTAATTCATTTAGACCCAAAGAAACATAATCAAATAACCACTGTTTACAAAATGTGTTTCAGTCTGAAGTGTCCACTTCAAGTCTCCCACACACTGAGTAGAAAATACTCCCCCAAAAGGTGATGATTTTATTTCATGTAGGAGTTTGAAGATAGGCAATAGTTTGCATCGTAATACCACTCAAATCCTTAAATTATCTTCTGAAGACATTATTCCTGCCCCCATTCTGCTTCTCCTTTGTTCTGTTTGTGATTGAAGACAGGTCAGAAACCGGCTACCCTGCACATCGTGTTTCTGGAAACTCTTCTGTTGTCTGCAAAATACATGAACACAGATTTTAAACCAAGTAAATATGATCCAGAGTTGTCTCTTCATTTGAAAATGACAGGCTAGTTCTCTTTCACACATGCCCATGTCCAACGTCACTTATACTGTAGATTCATTTTGAGATCTTTTAATTTCTAGTTACATCAGTTAAATATTTGTGGGAATCAAATCCCTGCTTGCACCTGACTCATTTTAGATTAGACTAGAAAAAGAGAAAATGTATTCTTTGTTTTTGAGTTTGAGTTTGTACAATCTTGAAAGTCAATACTTGGTAGGGCTCCATCTTTTTTGGATTTTAACTGCCTTTTGTTCTACTTTCTCTCAACACCATCACACACACTGCTTCAGTAATGTTGAGGTCCAGGCTCTGGGGAGGCCAGTCCACGACTGATAGTGTTTACTGTGTGATTTTTCTACTGCATGGTGGATCTGGGATCATCTGACAGCACTTTTCTGTGATCATAATTCCATCAGTTTTCTGTCATACCTCTCTCCTGACCTCCTCCAGACATCCCCCAATAAGACCTGTTGCCACCACATTTTCAGTCAGTTCATGTGTAATTTGCCATAACTCCAACTTTTCTTCCTGTTTCCCTTCTTTAAGAATGACATGATGATTTCTGGCGAGGCTTCAGTGAACAGTAGACGGATCAGCTGAAGAGCCAGATGCATCTCTCACATCCTGGTGAGATATCTGGTGTTTCCCACATTTTCTCTATTTATTAAGGACATGATTTTCAGTTCTTCTGCTGCAGATAGTTCTCAGTACTGCCTCAGATTTTTTTAGGATGCCATGCTAACACTTGCCAAGTTTTCGGCAAATTTCATGTCTGCCAGACTGTGTTATCTTTGACATTCCTCATGGACTAAAATAGAAGAATGAGAGCAAAATATCTGTTTTTTGAGGGGGTTTTGGCAACAAGCTGTTGGTAACAAACTGTCTAAAGATAATCAAAAGATTACATGTATTTATCTGTGGCTACTCTCGCCCGTGTTTTTCTTAATTGCTGTTGTGTCATTTTGTCTCACTTTTTCAGTTTTTTGTAAACAGCTCTCTTTGGAAAAAAAGACATCTTGATTTCATTGAGAATACCTGTTTAAATGAAAGATTTATTAATAATTATAATAATAATTACAGAAATAGTTAGGCACAGTCTTTTGACGTTGTTATGAAAGAAGATGGGTTTATGCCTCAGTCAATAAGAAGGCAGTAAAACTGATGATGATGATCCTCGATCTAATTTAAGAAAACTGGCGTGAGAACGACTCAGGTCACGATCGGATGGAAATATTTACCAGAAGCAAAATTACGTAAACACTGGAGGTGAAACATCATTTGTGATGCTTCCTCATTTTTTTCTTTTCTGTCTTTCTTTTTTTCTGGACGAATCAGCAGAGAACACTGCATCGCTGCGTTTTTCTGTACAGTGCAGGTGTACCCTGGTAGGTTTTATAACATGCACACACACACAGACACACACACACGGATGTGTAAGCGTGTATGCATGTTTAAGTAGTACTCTTTTGTACCTTCTGTGGTGGAAAATGCATTATGCTGAGCTTCAGTCAGATAATACAGTGTAATGTGCGTGGCAGTCTGCTGCCGAGATACGCATCAGCTGTGTACCTCTGTTGTAAACTGAGCTCTCTGTGTGTCTGTAATGACACCGCAGTGGAAAAAAGTCCACTTCCTGGACAAGGTCAACATTGTTTTGGAAAAAATAAGGACTCGTTATTGTGGCAGGAATGTGTGCAGGTTTTTGGGGGTTTTTTTCTTTAGCCCTGCTTGGAAAACTGGCCACTGTGCGGAAAATGAGGACTGATAAGACTCTCCCTCTTTCTCTGACTCACTCTTTCATTTTTTTCAGCCACATAAATACAGATCTGCCATTACTGGTCAAAGGCTTGGGATCACTCCAAAAGATCCTTTTTTGATAGAAAAGCACATTTATTATTGTCTAATGGAACAATATATTGATTAGAAATTGTGTAAATAACAATGAATTCCTAATGGAATCACAGCTTAGTCACAACATTAAAACCATTGACAGATGACTTGAATAACAGTCATTATCCTCTTACAGTGCAATGTTCTTCTGGGGAACTTTGGGCCCTGTCTCTTTGACTGAGTGTGCAGTGTTTTGGTAATCATGCTCCCTGATGGCAGCAGCCTTGCCCAGCTGGACAGCGTTGACCCAGCTTCCAAACATCTCAGATGTCAATGCAAAGCATCAGTGGGATGCTTTGGAACAAACCCAATCCATGGAGTCCCCAGACCACAACGCCCCAAAGCTGGACACCACAGAACAACCCAACGGGTCATGTGTACATGGGTGAGAGCACGAGGGAGGCCTGCACAATATTTATGTTTTCAACAGAACGGCAGTCAGAGAGTCAGCAGAGACAGAGCTGCAAAAACCAGTGCCACGTCTGAGGCTGACAAATAAAAGGAAAAGTTCTTAACACTCTAAGGCTACGTTCATACTGCAGGCGAAAGCGCATCAAATCTGACTTTTTTGACCCTATGCGACTCATATCCGATCATGGTGTGACAGTGTGAACAGCAAAAAATCCAATATTTTCAAATCTGACCTGGGTCACTTTCGTATGTGGTACTGAATCCGATACATATCTGATGTTTTAGAAAGCGACTGCTGTTTGAATGGTCATGTCGCATTAAATCCGTCTTTTACGTCACTGACACAAGACAGACGCCTATTATCAGCGCCCGAGAAGACATCGTGAACGCTTCCTGGCCATCCAGTCTAGATGTTAGTGAAACTGTTGGAAAGACAGCGTTGTGGAAACGTGAACATTTTATTTGTACTGTATAATCTGCAGATTCTGACAGAAATCTGCAGCTATCCTTTGAAGCACCGCTCCTCTCTAAAACAGCAATAAGGATAATTATTAGGCCAAATGTAAATAACAACATAACTTTATAACTTAAAGCAAAATTGGAAAACGGAAAGTCTGAAACAAGTGTTTCATATTAAGGGCCATCAGTCAAACAATAGTGTTTGGTCTGGGTCTAAACAGAGCGCGTTGTGTGTGACGTCTTCTTTTGCGCATGCAGGCCGCTTTGAGGGTTCACAGTAGAACACGTTTGCTGTCACATTTTATTTGTAGTGTGAACACGCAGACAAAAAAATCGGATTTGATCAAAAAATCGGAATTGAGCATTAAGACCTGCAGTGTGAACAGAAGGAGGTAGTTTTGCGGCTATTCGGAGACTGTAATCATAAACCATTCAGCCCAATGGTTTAATGATCAACTAGCCATCTAACATTATGTACTTGCATAACACAATGTGCCATTGAAACACAGGAGTGCAATATTCCATTAAGTATCATAAACAGTTTATAATTAGTGATTGTGTAATTAATCAGAATTGTTTATTTTTTACACAATTCTAAGAAATAAAAAACATACCAAGAGCGCTGTGCTAACACTGCTCCATAACAGTGGTCTAAATTTCATAGGTACCTTAAAGTAGCACCAGCCAGAAGAGGGTGTGCATATAACACAAACGTTGCATCTATGACTCAGCGTACCTCATCTAAAGCATCGCCGTCGTCTCTTTTTCAGACTATAATTGATTATGAACGAACAGTCGACACGGTGAGAATCTGTAGACTTTCTGAGACCTGAACCTTTAGTCCTGCACACAGCAGGTGATTCCTTCTCAGGGACTCTTTTTGTTTTCCTTGCAGACACGCTGAGAGGGAAGTGAGGAAACTCTCCCCAGAATGCATGTCAGAGATATTATAACAAAGAGAGGGAGGGAGAGAGCATGATGGCACCTAAAGAATCCAACACTGGGATTTATGGGAGAACTGTGCAACAGCAAAGATGGTGTCCAAAAAGAACACGGATATATTTAAAACCTTATTTGTGGGCCAAAGTCTGCAAACCTGTTTAAGCTGTTTCTACTCAGAATACATGCTTGAAATTAAAGTTCATTTAGATCAAGCTTCAGCATAACTGCCCAAGTAAGTGTTGGGAAGCATTTCAGTAGTGGCAGACTAGTTTCAAGAAGCACTTTGGTCCTAATAAATCACTTTATTACTACAATCTAATTTAGTAAAATGGAACATGTTGATTGTATAAGACCACAAAATGTCATATTTTTGTCCTTTCCGTTGCTTATGCACACACACATGCACACAAAAGAAAATTGTTTCATAATGGACCCTCTTCAGCTAAATTGGTTGTCTCTGTGTAATAAATGGGCTTCACTGGGAACAGCTGTTGCTACTCTGCAGGCACAGGGAACATTTTGTGACGAGGACTCTGTGAATATCAACGGGTTTTTAGATTGTTTTTCTCTGATTGAGGGCACATTATTATGATGTTAGCTGCTGTTGTTTATCACAGTGGCCCCAAAAGTGCTTCGAGTCCTAAAGTGAGTGCCGGCGCGTTTTCGTTCTCTTCTTAAAACGACGAGTATGAAAACGACTTTTATTTTGCGTACTGTGACTTTTTCTACAGTTTGGATTTCAAGTTTTAAACAACACCGAAAGACTGGCTGCTGTGCATCCAGCAGTCTCTCCAGTACGTTTCTCCTTTAGGAGGCCAGAAAAGGGTTCGTGTCTTCCCCCCGCCCTCCCAGCCACACAATGACTGCTTTAATTTCCATTACTGGAGAAGCAGCCAAGCTGGAATGTATTAATATAAAGTGCATGATTCAAGTCAGAAGTACTGCAAATATTCGTTCCCCTCCACTATACAGTGTCTCCCAGTTTGAGGAGAATCTGTAACTGTGATGTCAAAGCTTAGAAACGACACATTGATATCAGTGGTCGGGACAGGCTGTAATTTTGGCCAGAGTCGAAGCTTTCAAAGTGGCGACGTCTATATTTATAAAGGCACTTTGTGTTCTAACTTTAGTGACCGGTGCTCAGCACAGCTCTGGTCTGAATATGGACACACATCCTGACACCGTGCAGCCATAATGAGCAGTCTCGATTTGTGGCAGATAACTGCCGGAAGCTTTGTCCCCACGTTTGTTCAGCCCGAGTGCAAAACCTGCAGCCAGTGCCAAGCAGGTCACCGCTTTTACACGAGGTATTTTAGGGCTCGCCGTTGAAGGAAATTCTGTGGAAGCTTAAGCAGTTCCTCATCTAGGAGTTTTAATTGGCTTCCCAGGAAAGAGAATAGCATTCATAACCTTGAATTAGGAGGCGATGTGGTAAGCTACTGTCAGCTGATTGATGGTGAGTTGAGCTGCTTATCCTGGTGCTGCTGGATTTTATTTTTAACCTGGTGGCACCTGACAGGCCCAGGGCATGAGGAAGACCTCGGGTGGGGAATGACAACAGAGAGGATCGACACATAAATCTAGGCAAATATGAAGCTGCAGTAAAAAGAAAAAAAATACTGCAGAGGGAAGATGTGGAATACGTGCTGTTGTGGTCGAAAGAGTGCTTTCTTCAGAGTGTTTGGCCTACATTTGGTTGTTGGGCACGCCTCTTACTCTTGCACTTGATGCAAATCAGGTGTTGGCTTTCATCTCAGTATTCAAGCAGGGTTTAATCACAGTGGCCGCGTCTTGTGTCGTTACTAGGAAGGCAGAAAAACAAGACAGAGCTGGCCTAATTTTTTCGCAGCACGAAGTAGCTGCGGTGAAAAATCCAAGCCCAGCTGTAGCTGATTACTGAGGGACAACGGGTTCCAACCTTTTGTACCACGGTACCCCCCCCCCCCCTCACTCTCTAATATTACTTTAAATTACTTTAAAATAAAGACTCTTGCCTGCTCAGAGGACTGTGCACACTGTAAGGCAGTATTAAAGCAGTTTGCCCTCAATGGGCAAACAGTAACATATTAAGAGAAGCCTTGCCACTCAAAACAAACGCATTCTAGCCAAGAGTCAGCAGAGGCTCGTGAGCTCTGGGTTAGAGACGTGCTTAACTGGGTAAAACAGCTTCTGCGTGACCAGACTTTATATGCTTCACTTCACTTTGTGGATCACATTTAAAAATGTTCAAATGGGGATTTCAAGTTTTATAAAGAGAAAGAGCATTGGTGTGTACTGTGACCTGGGAGGGGCTCTTTTACCCTGTAAGGGTGACTCAGTACTGTAAACTAGCAACACAAGCACTGCACATAACTTATATAGACCATGAACACCAAAACCACACACTTTGAGAACAAACCACAGGGATTATGTGTGTGCAATAGTGTATTACAGTAACGTAACAGTGCCGGGTATCACGGGACAGCCTGTCACTCAATCAGCCTCACACCCAGTGCTGTCCCTCTGCAGTGTAACGGAGGAAGAACCGCCGTTTACGCAGCATCCCTCGCGTCGGTTATCTGTCCTTCGCTACACCACCACACTCCTCTTCCTCTTCCACAGACAGGCTGTTTCCCTGTGATATGTTCATCCAACTGTTGCGCTCAAGTTCTATAAATGTTTTTTACAATGTCGACGTTCATGAATTGGCACGGAGTGGCATCGGCAGATTTTGACAACTAGATAAACTGTTCTGCATGTGATGACATACACAGTGGATTAATGCTGCCATGTTTTGGAGAACAAAACGTTTCTACTGCCAGAGAGTAAATGAATAAAACTGGGAGGCGCTGTCACAGCAAGAGGATCTCCAGGCGGGGTCCGGAGTTTCTCCCAGTCTCCGTGCCTACACAGAATCTCTCCAGGTAGTTTAAGATGTGAATCGCCTCCGTTTTCAGCTCCTCGATAAACTGGAAGTACCCTGCCTTTTGCGCCATGTAGCTGGGATAGGCCTCAGCTCCACTGTGATCCTGGACATCATAAGCAGTTAAGAAAATGGATGACTACAAACTGTAGACAACCGTGTTTAGCGACTAAAACATTTTCCAATGCTAAAAGAGAAATGCCCATTCTCGTGCACAAGTACTAACTTGTTTAGAAAGATTTGGCTTTAAGACAAAATCATGCCATCCAAATATGAACCAAAGCATCCCAATCAGCCCACTGGTTGATTAAAACTGGCTCTACCTCACTTAGAATCACTCCCTTTAATGTGAGCCAGACAAGCTTGTCTTTGCACATTTTAGTACACCCACCCCCCAAAAATCCAAACAACCCTACGATCCTGCACGATTGATGTGAAAATGAACTGTCAGAGTGACTTTGACAATGTCACCACACCCTACAAAAACCCATTATTTCTCCACAGTCTGATTTCATCTCGTGAAGTTGTTCCCTAACAGGAAGTTTGGAAATGTAGTTATGCTGCGTCAGTGTTAGAGAACAGGACTGTAGAATGGAAAAGTACTTGTCGTGTAATCCCGCTCGCTTCTCTGTAGCATTTTATATGAGAAGCAGGTGGAAACCAAGTTGGCAGCTTTGAAATATGGTGGTCTCAACCAGAGCTACATTTAGCTGGTGATTCAAATCCCGTGTCCCCAGCACTTCCAGTGAAATCCAGTCTGCTTACTTGGACTTTAAAAGTGGCACGTAGATTTGGCGGCACGTCTTCTCCAAGGACCAGGTTTATGACGGGGCCAATCCCCGATCAAGAACAAGGAAGAGAAGGAGACCAAACTCTCTGCCAATAATTTTTATTGAGATATTTTGTAGAACAGGGGAACCAATGATTACAAAAAAAGTCCGTAAGTGTTCTACATGCTACACCTTAACCTAATTTCATCATGCTTGCCTGGAAAAAGTACATAGAAATTTAACAAACAAAAAACAAAAAAGTACAATTAAAACTGACGTACATTATACTCACCATTAACTGTACTTTTAAATGTACCTTTCTCCTGCCTCCATGCACGCAACTTTAATTTTATTTTATTTTTTTACATTTGGATAAAAAAAAAATTAAGACTTTTAGGCGCTTCTTTAAACCATAAAATAATTTTTTTCTCCACTAAAGACAAAACGCACCCATTTTTTAAAAAAAGAAAAAAAAAAGATATCCATTAGAACAGTATTGATGGAAAATGGAAAGCCTCGACTTCAACATAACACATGAATATGCATCCTACCTTAAAACAAAAGAACACTTGCACGCCCGTATAGTGCCAAAAATGAAAATGGAAGTCTGCCCAACTCCTCAAATCTTCAATAATCACATTGAAATAACACATTTTGATAAAATAAATAGCGCACATTTTGCTAGAAATAAATAAATGATTACTGAAACACCTCACTATGTTAATTGCTAAAGTGAGACAGATTTCATCTACGCGACCACTTCATTTCATGGTATGAGGATGGTCATGTGTGTAAAGCACTAGTGCGGCTTCGAGTGTCTCTCGCGGCTGTTACCTTGAGGTAGATAACACATTTACATTAACGCCTACGATAATGGTTGCTGCTGGCATCATGTGTCAGATTTACAGTATGAAAGGGTTTTCAAGGAAGCTTTCTTCAGGGAAAAAAAAATGTCAGAAGGTCAAAGGATATTTTAAAAAAGAAGGATAAACAAAAAAAACATGACGAACAAGACACCCCACCCCAGGAAAGGCTGTTTGAGAGCACTTTAAAACCCCACAGCAATGTTAGCGTCTACCTTCCTTCTTTATGTCACACCCAAAACGGCCAAACTTCATCTCTTAAATCCTCTCTACCTCATCCTCCCTCCTCTAGATACTTCTTTCCCGCTCCCCTTTCATCTACAGTACTTAAATGTGCGACTGACATGCCAGTATAGCAATGAGGGTGTAGACATTAACCCATGAAGGCCTGGTGATCAAGGCTCAGAGTGATGATCAAAACTCTTTAAATAAAATCACCCTTTTCGACTCTTTAAAAAAACAAACAAACAAACAAACAAACATAATAATAACAAAAAAAAGGTATGAAATGATTCAAGTACAGTATACCATATTATTTTTAAAAAAAAGCAACATAAAAACAAAACTGCCTAGATTTTGCACTGTGAGGAAGATATACATTTCCTTAATTAAGATGTTTGAAGATGCTGCTGTACGTTTTGTGGGCAATTTGTGGGGAGCATTTGACAGCGCAGGGGGTGAGGGACGCCTGGATGGATTTTAGAGGCAGTTCATCAGTGCTGTCAAAGCCAGGAAGGGCCAGAGAGTCCAGCTGCATATTGAGCACAATCTCCGTGCTTCTGTCAAGGAAGCTCTCGTCTAGCTCTCTCACCACCGGGGACCCAATCTGCGGGCTGGCAGTCTCGGAGACGGCTTCTTCCCTCCTGCTGAACAGGTGGTCCAGGTAGCTGGTGTAAGGGCTTTCCTTCTGGAGGTGGTCCTCTTTGCCAATGTCCCAGCACGCTTCGTCTATCAAAATGCCATTCTCTCCGACCGTGTCCCCAGAGCTCTCCCAGGGGCGAGCAGGCCAGACGCAGTCCCCGCCGACCACTCCCAGCCCTCCGCCACCTAGCTGGGCGAGATTTACCAGGCACTTCTCCTCCTTCTCCTGACTTATGGACTTGGACATAGAGGTTGAGCGAGGAGCCTCGAGCTGGGAGACAGAAAAGTTGAGCTCGTTCAGGAGGCCCACCTCATTCAGGAGCCCCACATCGTTGAGCAGGGTCACCTCCTGACAGGGCTCCGGCTGCAGGCTCAGCTTGATGGTGCTGGCAATGAAGGAGTCAAAGTCAAAGCCTTGGTTCTGCTGGCTCTGAGGCTTTTCCGTCTGGTGTTTCTCTTGCACTTTGTCCTTCTCTACAGGGCTCTTCTCTGCCTCCTTTAATGCGATCTGAGCCTTTACCAGCCCGTTCTTCTCGCATTTGCTCTTGGACTTGCGGTCTGCCTTCTCCTTGCTCTGCTGCTCCTTCCAGTTGGAGAGGTCGATGATAAGCTTGGGTTCGTAGTAGTGGTTGACTTCACTGTCTCTCCAGATGAGGTTGTCCAGGTAGGAGGGCGACACAGCCTTGTAGTTACAGGTGTGGCTACACTGCAAGTCACAGTATTTGTTCTCGTGGTGGTCATCCTGCCAAGATCTCTCTAGTGGGAATGGGGTTGAGTAGTCGAAGGACGGCTCGTCCAGGAACTTCTCTCGATCTCCATCAGCATATTTACGAGGATCCACCTAGAAAAAGACAACAGCTACCTTTCAGAATCTGATCATTTAAGTCAGTACTGATTTAAATCCAATTTATATTAGTAAGGAATGAGCTCTCTTGCACCTAGCTTTTTTCAGACATGGATTAAGCCTATCCAAACAAAAATACATGTAAAATTCAAGGAAGGCCGCCTCTGAAATAATGTTTATTTATGTTAGCAATAAAGCTCAATCCATGAATGGGAACCCGGCCTTAAGGCTTTTATTGATGTATACCGCTTTAAGATCAATCCAATACTTGCTTCCTTGCCCAGAATTAATCACCCTTAAGGTTCTGAAAAAGCAGTGAAAATAGTTTTGATAGTAGTATTGAAGCGTTTGTCAAAAATAACTCACCTGGACGACCTCTTCGTCTGTTACATCGGAGAGTGCCCTTGGGTCAACCTGAACTTCGTCTGGGTCATGGGTGCTGTGCAAGTGCCAGTCAGCTTCTGAGAACTGGCTCTCATGATACCTAATGGATAAAGAAATAGAAAGACTTCATTAGCAACAGTCATATACAGGCTAAGTTTGCAAATAAACTCTAGTCAAACAGTGAGAGCTGCTCACTTGCAGCAAGCACAGCAAAACAAATTCCGCTGAAGTTAATCCCAAAAGAATATGTGAGAGGGAAATAAGTGAGAAGGCACACCTGTCACAAGTGTGGCTGTGGCTCTGGTCCATGAGCAGGATATCATCTACCTCATCCTCAATGTGAAAGGGGTGCAGAGACACAGGCTCATCCAGGGGGAAGGAGTAGTCAGCCATATAGGGGTGTGCCAGGGCCTCTTCCGCAGTCAGACGATCCATGGGGTTAAAGGTCAGGATCTTCTCCAGGAAATCAAGGGCTGTAAAGGAGAAGGACAATGAGATTATCAAGCTGGAAATACGAGATGTGATCTATGAAGTACACGACCATGACCCTGGGTTCACAAGCACTTCATAAGGCTCCAAGTACTTCTGATTAATTAAAGTGGTACTTACCCTGCGGACTGACATCAGGCAGCAGTTTGGCCAATGGTGTGTGAGGCTTGGTCATGTCATTGCGGATAAAGACGGGAATTACGCTATGGAGCTCCTGGCGGTCTTCGTCTCGTAGTACAGGGATTGACTCCAGGATCAGCTGCATCTGTTCCAGTTCGTGAGCTCCTGAAACAGCAAACAGAAATATTATGGAGTTTTTTAGAAGAGAACCCATGACTCAACTTCTGCATGACTGAGGGAGTTTGAGTGAGGCAGCCTCGATTCCCATGATCTGCTTCAGATCATGGGAATCGAGATTTCATTTGCCTTGTGGTCAGCTCAAGGCTGTTTTAACAAGAACAGTCTCTCCCTGCACCGGCCGAATACGCAAAGTCAAACCAGACTGTCTGGTTTACCATGTGTTTAACAAACAAAATTAGCATGTGTCTCATCACACCTATACTTGACATTTAACTCTGTCACTTGAGCCACCTTAAAGACTGATTTTACACAAGGTGTGAGGAGTGAGTCTGACATAACAAACTGAGTCAACATTTACCTGCAAACAGGGTTTTCCCTGTGAGCATCTCAGCAAAGATGCAGCCAGCAGCCCACATGTCGATGGCTTTGGTGTAGTTGTTAGGAGAGAGCAGCAGGCGAGGAGATCTGTACCACTTTGTGACAAGACCTTCAGAGAGATGGCCCTGCCGTGGTGGGAAACCAGACATTAATTGTAACCCTCTAAAAAATACATTACAGTACTGGAAATAGTGCAGAATTATCATTATTATTATTGTTATTATTATTTTTTTTATGAGTGACAAGTTACTTTCAGTTTGTTTTCATTCAGAGGTAAGATGCTCATAAGTCTGCAGTGATTCACAATAAAAGCTATGATTACCCTTGTTTCATGTACCTCCACGTTTGCCACACAATACAGGTAACAGGAGATGTGACACTATCCTGCAAGTCTGTGCTAAACATTCAGAGCCCTGTGCCATCTCCTTAACAGCCGTACTCTGTGCTGGTCACGTACACCACACAGCATACAAAGACCCCCCGCCCAAAAAAGAAGAGACCAATGAAAAGAGGGGAGATCAGGCCATGTCAGCAGTCTGAGCAGGATAATACCCCACTGCCACTAACCTGCACTCAAACAGTGCCTGACTAGTCACAAGGCCAGGGGGGCACCAAGCATAAAGGAAGCTGACCTCTGTATGTGTGTCTACACACTCAATGGGGGGAGGGGGAGTGGTAAAACAACACCCTTGCTGCGCTCTTTTTTCCCCCCACATGCAGTGGTAGTTTGTGGGACCAAAATGGACTGCTCACCACTGTGGGAGGCTCCCATTTCTGCCCAAATTTAGCCACAAATACTTGATGTCATCCTATCCTTAAGTGCCTGCAAGCCCTTGTTTTGATGGGACCTATAAATGACACGACATGTATTCCTTCCTACAGGTAACCAGCTAATCCGTCTGTCCGAGAGAAGATTGTAAAGAGGTGGGGGGAATTAAGAGATAGTCTGGCACATAGACAGGTCATACCTAGTGACTGGGACCAGAACCCATTCTGAGAAGCAGCTGGTAAAGCCGACCTTTGAGATTGTGCTTACGGGGGAGAAACACACACAACCAGCTTAACAGAGAATGTAAATTAGGTTAGCTTGAAAGAGTCATTGCAGAGAGTAAGGACAATGCGTAATGGACTCTGAACTAAAAGGAACAGATTAAAGTTTGCCTACCAGCTAAGTGCATAAAGTGCATTAGGTGAACCTTCCAGCTCAATTCTTTTACAGATTTTCAAGCGGACCATTCACCATAAAGCTTTAAAGCATTAACAATGTCAGTACCTCCAGCAGCAGCTGGTGAATAACTTCACTACCGGATCTACAACAGCTCAGGCTGACATTTAATGATTCACAACTAGGCCTCTCCATGTGACAGGCTGTGGTTAGTCAGAGCAACCTCAAGCAGGTTTAACCAGATGTCAGTAAAGGTGGCTTCTGGAGAATCAGAAAGATCCTCCCCCACCTCCCAATCCAGGATAAAGCTGTTGACCGAAAAATAAGCAATCAATTTTGTTGCCAATACAGATTCACTTCAGAGTTTAACTGTCAAGTACTAAATGAGGAGGATGTGCGCCTAATAAATAAGAAAAAAAACATTTCCATCTGGATCTTTGGCTTCTCTGAATAATTTGTGATACATCTGCTTGCTGCAGAACAAGATTAAACTACTGTTTAAAATCAAGAAAGTACAGGGTGGAATAATCAAAACCAGCTCTCTAAAACTCATTGAGCCTGAAGTCAACTTTGCTGCATTTATTCTGAATCTTGTAAAGTCTGGCACCAGACAGGCCCAGTGGTAGCTAAATAACTGGGTCAAGTATGCTTTTTATTGCAGCTGTGGCTTAGAATTGTTCACTTTGATGAATGTGTGGCAGAAACAAACCTTGTGAAGGTCTTTTATAACATTCCTAACAACGTCACGGCTATCACCTCTATAGCATCTCAAATTACTGAAAATTATACCAAACCACAGGCAAGCACAAGATCACACTTTTTCAATATTCAATAGTCTGACAGGCAACATGCAAACAACTGTTTCCACAGCACAAAATTATGCGAATGTCTGACAAGTTTGCCACTTTTTTCTAGGCGTCATAAAAAGACAAACCTTTAAATGGTTTGCCAAGCCAAACGATCTCTCAGTGATAAATCACAAGAATGGCGAAGACTAGACTGGATGTCACTTCTAGAGAATGTATTTTTGACACACTCAAACTGCTTAACTTAGACACACAGTAAAAATTGTTAAAGCCTCAGCAATTCTTGTTTAAAACTGTTAAAAGCTTCTTTGACTGACTTTTGGTTCAGCTTAGTCTCTAGCTAAAGTTTGGGACAAGACTGAAAGTGAACGCAGGCTTTAGATCAGCTTCAAATAAGGCTCTGAGCAAGGCTCCCACAATGTGACAAAGGGCTGGCTGGGAAAAGGAGGGGAACTGGGGTTGGAAAAGTTGGATGAGTGCACGTGAATTTTTGTCATTCTTGAGTATGAGCCACTATTAGGCGAGACCTCAAAGCTCACAGAGACAGAAACTGTTTCCCCACAGAAACAGGTAGTTGTGCTTAAAACTAAGCTATGCAGGATTATTAAAAGCCTAAAGGGAACCATGAGCTGTTGATGTCTTTTAGCCAAGGCATTATAAGAAAGAAAAAGCGTGGGAGGAAAGGATTAAACAAACGCCTCGTGAATGCACCACTGATGCATGAATCCAAGATCACATTACCGAAGCTAAACTAGAAACTGAAGTTCACTGGAAAAATAGAGCTGTTTTTTTTTTTTTTTAGAAATGATGTTATTCAAATACATTGCACTCCAGCACCCAACCACTGCGTCTCGGACCCTATGCTCTAAGTAGAGGGTGGTCGTGAAAGAGCATTTGCCCCCCAGTGAATGTGGCATGTGGTCAACAGTAAAACCAACTGTTTTTTTAACACCTTCACGCTGTGCCACTGGTGTGTTATCTGGGGGTGCCAAGTTCATTTTTAAACACGCCTCATTTGTTCTTAGACACTCACTTTAAATGAGTCTAGGAGCCATAAAAAAGGTGGTTGGTAAAGATACTAGCTTAACTTTGCCCCTTGGTACAGCTATTATCACAAAAACAATGAAAAAACCCAAAACAAAAACAAAACAAACAAAAAACACAGTAAGGAGAGCTTCATGGAAAACCAGTTAGTCAATCTGACTATAGCGTTTCCATCTTTGAGCAAAACAGCAGTAATCTGCTGCAGTACATCTTTGAGCTCTGACCCCAGGCAAGCAGCTTAAGGAGGGAAAAAATAAAAACTTCTCTAAAGCATCTGGCCTGCTACAGACACTAAACTGTGAAGCTCTCATTCCTTCCCAGCAACTATTACCTTACTCTTCCTAGTGCGCAGTGACATACCGTCTCAAAAGACATGACTCATATGAAAACAGTCAGAGCTGAAAATGTGACTACATGACCAAAACGCAGTTTTCGTATTTAACTGGCAATTAAGCCAGTTATGGTAAACAAGGGTGCGTAAGTCTATTTCGAGGGATGCATTGTGTGGCAGCAGCCTGGATGAGTAATGGATATGAATGAGACAGTACCATCCAGTGAGATCACCCATCACTTGAGCCCCATTTCCCTTCTGTGACTAATCCGAGACACATGCAAGCATCTGACCACCTTAGCGCCTCAAGAAGATCCGGGCAGAGACACAGAGGGAGGGACAGGCTTCCCAACCTAGATTTCCTCACATTACACCACCATATGGCCATCAACTGGAATTTCCTCATCCCTTTATAAAGGTGACAGCAACACACAAGAGCTACACAGGCCTCCCACGTGGCTGCAATTACACAGGCTGATCTATACTCTTCTCACACTGAAGACAGAAACAGCTTCTTTAATGCTACAATTACATTGCTTCACAGAACAAAGGAAGTTTTATAGAAAGCATTAAAATGTGTGCATTCAACAGATGGCGTGCCAGCATTTGGCTTTCTAAGCACGTGTTTACAGTAAGCATCTTTCAGAAACCAGTGAAAAGCCATGAACAAAGAAAACAGCAAGGGACACAAATGTCTTCACTTCTAAAAGTCTCATGCATGAGAATTTGCTTATTGGAGCAATGACCTCATTCAAAGAGAACTCATGCAAAGCATTGTCCTTTCAGATGTAACAAATCCTCAATTTTTATTTTTATTTTTTAAGAGCAGGATGTCCACAACAAATTTTTGCAGCCTCAAGCCTTCGTCAGTTTTCTCTAAAAGCTGATGGAGGCGCAACGTTGAACTCTTCCGGTTTTGTGTCATTGTGAAAACATTACACCCCCCCCCCCCCCCCACACACACCCCTCCGCTGGAGATCCTATTGTAGCACGTCTTAATTAAGCCACATTATCACAAACTAATCTCCAATTCTTATCGTCTATACTTTTACATAATGGAAAAAAATGTTTCCCACGGCTTTGTTTTCAACCCTCACTTATGAGAAGGGAAGGCGAGGCCTTACCTCAAGGAACCACATCCTTTCTAGCTCACTTCCTGCTCAAAAAACTGCGTCACCCTGGGGAGTACCACATTACTGGGCAATAAACATCTCGTGTCAGAGCAGCAGAGCACTCGTATATGGGCAAAGAGTTCACCAGCGCTGCTATATTTGTTCTGCTTTGCGCTGTAGCCTGTGCTGCATTATAACCACCCATCATAAACAACAGCAGACCAGCAAAACTCTGCAATTGGTCTTACCTTGTGAGAGTAGTGAGGGTCCATAATGCGTGCCAATCCAAAGTCCCCGATTTTAAGTACCAGGTCCTCCGTGTTGACAAACAGGTTGGCAGGCTTGAGGTCACGGTGCAGCACATTGGCAGAGTGGATGTATTTAAGGCCCCTGAGGAGCTGGTACATGAAGAGCCGGGCGTGATCCTCTGAGAGAAGGCCCCTCTCCAGTAGCTGACACAAATCAGTCTCCATGTACTCTTGCACAATGTAGACGGAGTTGACCTCCGTAAGAGACACCACATCCTCTGTTAGCCTGCAACCGCTGGGGCCCAACGTCTCAAACACCTAGTTCCATAAAAAGGAGGGTATGTGTTGATCATGAAGTCTTTTCATTTTCTGTCACAGCCAGATAAAAAAGATAGCAACGTTTTCTTTTTTTTTTTTTTTTTAAACTTTGAACCTGCCAACATACCTTGACAATGTTGTCATGGTCGAGGCGTCTGATAATCTTGATTTCCCGGAGGGCGTGCTTGACGCTCTGGGGGTCAGTCAAGATAATTTTCTTCACGGCTACACGCTTGTCACAGTCAGTGTCAACTGCTGAGAACACGAGGCCATTCCCACCGTAGCCCAGAGGCTTCAAGTCCATGTAGCGAGAACCCAGGTCAAAGCCGTGGATGTTCATCAGTGACTCAAACTTCTCTGCCATGACCTTTTGTTTTTGTGGGCTTCTACACCAAGCTTCTGCTATCTCTAATATTAATCCTCTGGCCCGTTTCAAGCCCAATTTTCGCACTTAACAGAGGAATCCCCGCCCCCCCTTGCTTCAGAGGTCCGCTGACCCCTGTACAGACGACTACCAAGTCACCCCCTCTAGCTGTCACTGTCAGATGCAAGGTTTTAATGTGTAGTCAAAGTTTCCTTCCATTTTGAGTAAGGAGAGAAAATTTTAAAGTTGAATTCATCCTCCAATCCTGAATGTGTGGATATATTTAAATGAACAGCTCTAAGTAAACTAGTGTTTGTAGACGGCAAATGGAATGGTCTTTGAGGCAAATTAAAGCGCACTGGCACGATCTTAAACTATAAAAGCACGTAATTGCATCCTCACAGTGCAAATACATTCAGTGTATGACTGGTCCTGAGCAGCTTCATGTGAAATGTGCGTAAACGCACTGCTAATTCTTTTCTTTCTTTCTTTCTTTTTTTCCTTTGTAAATATATGTATAGATCTGTCTGTATAGTTTTCCTGTCAATTCGGTCGTCTATAAAAATTGAAATGAGTCTGGCCTTTAAGTCTCTAAAGTAATTCCTCAGCCTCAATGATCAGGTGGCTCTAGCTCGCCACAGTCGCAATCAAAACTATCCTCCATTTTACTTGGATATAACCTGAAAGACAAAGAAAAACAAAACAAAAAAATAAGTGTGAGAACACATGTATTGTGCCAGAGCAAACTGGGTTTGAGCCCATCATTTGACACATTGTTTCCGTCTTCTATGAAGATGTCTCACTCTGTAAGGCTGACATGTGTTAGGGATTTCCATTAGGCAACAAGCTGCCTCGCTCGGCCGGCTTTTGAACGCGGTGACATTACGAGAAGCTAACCCCTCCCCCGCTCCCAGCTCCAGTGACGCGCCTGCTAGTCCGGTTTTCTAGGTATCGTTAAAATTAAAGAGATAACATTTAGAAGCTTCACGGAGATCAGTATCCACGAGAGTACACGAATACTACACATTAAAGACGAATAAACGTGTTCACAGCGCCTACTTTTGGCCCTCGCCCGGTCTCTGTTGACTAGCTCGCGGGGGAGAAAAAAAAAAGCCAAGAATGGCAGAGTAACGGCAAGCAAGCGAGAGACCGCCGTTGATCTAATTTAGAACATAACCACGACCACCCTTTGACGTTAACATGAGCTAAATTATATGTGGAAAACATATCTCACTACATCACTCATTTTATATACTTAAAAAACATCAAGCCAGCGAGAAATGTGCCGACAGCGCGAACAAAGGGGTCGTTGTTGGCGGAGGCTTCTGACTACGTGGTACAGCTTTCCTAGCGCTAAGCAGCACAAAGCCGACGTCGATTAAACGGCTCGAATAACAGCGAATCCAACATAACATGTACATAATAATCAGAATCTATATATAACATGTTACTCACGGTCCTTGTTTGTTGCATTAGGCGGGCTATAGTTTTAATCAAACCCAGACGAGGTTTGACTGCGATCCGCTCCCGGTGCTATGCGGATCTGTTGCAATCGCCATTTAGGCTAGGTAGAGAAAGGCAGCAGCGACGTCACAAGGCCACCTTCACTGACTGTCGGAAAGATGTCTACTACGACTACGAGTCTTCAACAAACAATTTATTTTTACTTATTTGTTGTTTTCCCCAGCTTTTAGTTGCATACTAGCAGTTATTTACAAATAAATATTCCTGATTTATTTTTAAAATTATTATCAACCCACTATTACATTGATAGAGTACTGTAATTATCTCTAGTTCTAATACCCTAACCCCACTCTGGGTTCACTGGGTTCATTATTCAGACAACAACATGCAGTGAGTTGGCACTGCTTCATAAATAATGAAGTTTAACTTAGATCATTTGCATTATTTCTAAAAATCATGAATTAATCACCTCATGTTTCTGATCATTTTTATTATCACAGAAACACAACTGTGTCATATTACTCATAATACATGTATTGATATTTTAGCAGTGTAATGAACAATTAAGTTGGTAAGCAGCTGAAATGTCAGCAACTGGTGATTGAATTGGTTAAAAAGAAATAAAAATAAAAACACAAAAAATAATCTATTGTTTCCAGCCCAGACCTTTGACAGTCAGATATATCTGTATCTATATTTATAGGTGGAGCTGTAAGCTTCGAGCAGTACTTGAATATAGCAGGAATCATTCAAAACATTTGAAGTTGGAGTTCATTCCAACTCAGTGTTTGTGTTTATAGTCCAAGTGATAGCAGCACTGTACCACAGGCAACCTCACCATCACTTACCTCATTATCACCTCTTGATGCATGCAAAGTTCAACCAGTCGTAACTGCAGGCCATTTTATAATAGACCAACCCCCAGAAGTAACAAACCTCTAGAAAGAGTTTTTTGTTTTGTTTTGTTTTTTGTCACTTGTTCTATTATGCAACGTAAAATGAGGATGCCACAAGATAATGGACCAGGAAGAACATTCTTTACCCAGCCTATTTGATCTCCTATCTGGAAATATGGGGGGTGGAAATACTGCATTATAACCTGCAGAGCAGATACAGCTGTTCATTTTAGTTGAAACACCTCAGTGCATCATTTGCTTACACTTTGCTCTTTAGTATTTTACATTTAAAATTTGAGTTGTCCTCCAAATAGAAAATTATTGCCTATTTATTGCCTCTCAGAATTTCTGTTGAGAAAGCGTCATCCCTCTATTTTCCAACCATTGTTAAATTTTACTCAAGGCAGCATCAATAGTACGGATGGTATTATTTGTCTTTTCTTTGCAAAACGAAGCTGTTTTCTAGCTTTTTGTTTCATTTTATTTATTTATTTTTAGTGACGCGCAGTAGTGGTCTTGTCAGTGACTTAAAAAAAAACCCCGGACAGGTCACTCACATGCGCCATGCGGATTTACTCCCTTTGGCACCGACAGGGTGTTTCTCTTTTAGCGGCCCGACATCACGTCACATCAGATCTCCGCGAGGATTACACATCCCGAGGAAAAGAAGTGAAGAAATCAAATACGGCACTGATTTGATTCCCTCATTCTACGGATGGTCCCGCGGAGCGCCCGGTCCTCCCTCTCTGTGGATGCTGTGAATGGAGGGATGGAGAGGGAACGGGTGGGTGTGCAGGAAGGAGCATCATAGCCGCAGAAGTCTACATCAGCATCCGCATGCAGACCATGTGAGTGCCCATGTGTCCGACAATGCGGCTGGCTCTTACGGGCCGGGGTGGGCTCTGCGATGGAGAGAGAAACTACATGCTGCCGGAACGTGATGCGACTGAGAGAGAGAAATGTTGGGAAAAGACATGATATAGTTCACCGCTGCTCTGAACATCAGATTACGATTGGGCTATATGTTACCCCGTCCATTAATGCTCCCAAAGACGTAGAGCTATGTAATTACGTACTTTTATCAGCTATATTTTAAAAGCATAAAGATCTAGCTGAGGTGTATTTATTTATTTATTATTTGTTGGTTTGGTAAATCTATTATTTATAAGCGGCTTTTCTAGAAAAGATGAATGAAACTGCCTTTAGAAATTGCATTGAGTGTGCTTGTAAAAAGTGATGCAAATGTTCAGGTAGCAGCTTCACTGTCTTTGCTCCAAGTCACTTCCTTTGAGCTGATCAGGTAGAAATCAGAAAGAGAGAACTTCTCTTTACTGACATCTAGTCCTTTTGCACTTAACTCACTGATTGTGTGCGATATGTTGTCCCTCACCCCCACGAGTGCTCTTTTCTCTGTTGTATAGAGCCAAGAATGGAGGTCAGAAGATAAAGTCACATATTGTGTCTTTCATGAGACCCTGCCCTCACGTTTTGATCACGTTGGAGACAGAAGATCCGGACTTCTGTTACTTACATTTCAGTTATTAATGATATATCTCCGCAGGGTCATTACACTCTGTGCTCCGGGCTTCCTCTCTTTTATCATGAGATATAAGAGAACTGTTTCTCCAAGTCTTGCACCGAAACGTCCGACTGAGATATTTTTAATTTACTTCTGTTTCTGCCAGTCTTTTAATCATTGGCCCAACACAAACACAGCACTATTGCAGTCCATCAGTGTTGTTTGCTGCGCACAGAGTGTCTCATGTATGGAAAATGAGTGTGTGCACATGCTGTCAACCTGCTTGTCACAGTGGTAAGAGTTTCTTACTAAAACACACACTTTCACCTTTAAAGAGTATCTGAGTTTATCTCAGCTCCATTTCTGGACATTGCTATCCTCCTGCATGCATCCCCTGTTTTATTATGTTGAACCTGTTCTTCATTTATACAAAGTCTGCACAAAAACTAAAATGTCCTCAGCTCTTGTCACTCTCAAGCTTGCTCATTCCTTTATGAAAGACAAAAATCTCCTGGTCTCTTACCATGGCTGAAATTCTCCAGTGACGAATGGAGCAACATGGTGCCTGAGTCAATAGTCCATTCAGAAGAGTATGTTTTATGTCCGTCACTCCTAGTCCGAAAGGCAAAAAGCTTGAAAGACCCAGTGCACTCCACCGTCCGTTTATATGTGTGTGAATGTATTCTCAGAGCCTTGGCGGTGTGTTATCCTACTCCATGTGCCTCTGGTTGTGAGGTGGAGCTCCATGGAAAGTTAATATAGGCCAAGCCGGAGAGGGGAGGAGACTGCACTGGCTTGGCCTTAGACAGAGCAGTGTGTCAGACACACCGAATCCACCTTTCTGTCTCTCTCTCTCTGCCACTTTTCTTACTCTTTTCTCATTCTTAAAAAAAATCCCTGTTATTTTCAGACCTGCTCACTTGTATTTTGTAAAAAGAAAAAGAGTTAATTATCTGTAGCTTGTCCTGAAATAAACTGTTGCTTCTAGGCAAGACACTCAGGAGTTATTTGTCTTTTTTTTTTCTAAAAAAATAAATAAATCTATTTGCTTAAATGGGAGAAAACTGTTTTTGGTCACACATTTCAAACCTTGACTATCAAGTCATTGTTTGCAGACAACCAGACTAGATACATCTGCACAAAGAGACCCTTTTATGTGTGGGCATGTGGTGCATCCTTGGATGTCCTCTGGGTTTATTGCTCTCTTTCATTGTCTGTTTCAGTAAGGGTGTTCGTGAACTTGTGAATTTACAAATGCCAGACATCAGTCTCTGCTGATTCTACAGGAAAAATCATTTCCAGTTTTTCTCTTGCCCCACAAATCTGGTTTTGCCTTCCCTGAAACCTGTGTCTGTTCTCTGCCTAATCACAGCATCTCCCCAGGTCTGCTACTTTCTGGCGGTGCTCCTTCCTCTGTCCTGTCTACTTGTCGTGCAGCACGTCCTGGTGTCTTGACAGGCTGGTATGTTTGGACTGTAACGAAATACGTGCATGCACATTTGTTTGATATCCAAACCAGACCGTTGCAGAGTCTGGACCAGCTGTATGTTATCAAAATATGCATGTGAGAGCATGAGGTCAAGCTGTGGGTTAGGGGTTGTTTGCCTATATTTTGCTTTCTAAATCGTCACTTGTTTGCGAGGAATTAATCAATGGAGTGTAGTGCTTATGCTGCAAACTTGTTCGCTGCCATGAGCATCGCCTGCGCGAGCAATGCTGTGCTCACTTGATAAACAGCATTGATTAATTAATCACTGATTACCCTGCCTGAGTGCAGTGAAAAACCGTTACATAGCGCAGCTTACAGAAGCAATAAGTCCTGCTCTCGGTAGACTGACCAGCACTAATCTCTGATGCTTTTCACTACAGTGTCCTCTGTTATATAACAGTCTGCCTCACCGGAGCTCAAACTAAGGTGCAGAACGGCTCACAAAGGAGTTTCAACTCCCGCGCCCTTGTAAATGACCATATGACCACAGGACGTGTACAGCAGCTATATAATCCATACACATCTGTCTAATGCTGCGATAGTCGGGTATTTCACAGTGTTGTGAAAGAGGCTGTGAAGTGTTTGTCATTGTGTCTCCAGTGCAAGGGGCAAATGTGTTTATGCAATGGCATGACTTGCATATCTTGACAGAACAGGTAGTTCTGTGTTTTAAAAACTTTTTTTTTTCTTTAGTGTATGATCACTTTATTTCCCAAGTTTGTTGTGTTTAAATTGAACTGGACTTCACTGCTGCACTGCTGCTCAAAGGTAAAGCAGCCAGCTGTATTGAAAAAGCACATTTCATGCATACAGGTAGTTTTGGGGTGCTGTAAAAAAAACAACAACACAGAACAAGTCAACAAATGCACTTTTTTGAATTTAAAAGGAAAAAACTTCAACTTAAAACCACATGAGGGCACAATAAAAAAAGTATGTTTATATAAAACTGAACAATAAAACTAATAATCCACTGACGCTAGAAAATCCAAGTGTTTGTGAACTGTCGGTCTGTCTTCAGTCTGGATTAAAGGAGCATATTTAACGACACTTAAGTTCATGTCAAGGACAGATGAGTTCTCATCCAGCTGTTCAAACGATTTACTCCAGCCGGAGATTGTTAGTGGGATGTGACAGTACGATTACGCAAGACACAATAGTGCCACCACCACTAGCATGAAAATCAGGCTGTTCTTTTTATTTCGTGGTTCAATTCTAAGATGAGACCACACCATGTGAAGCGTGTCTTCAGTATCAAATCAGCTTTGAAATTAAAAGATTGCAGAATGATATCTCTAGTGATTTTTAAATTAACACAAATTTCATTCATCGTATCAACCGCATGACCAAAAAGTGTGTCAGAATGAAATCTCTGCTTTCCACAAAAGATAGATTTTAAATAAGTCAGAAACTAGAACTGCGTGTCTGCAGATCATAAATGTGTAATCGTTTTTTTTTTTATCAGCATCTTTTCAGTGCTGTATTTTTGGAAGCAAAAAGTGCGATGAAATGCGAGGAGAGGAAAAGACCATCTGCCTTTCCTTTTCTTTTTCTCTCGCCATCTGTGAGTGGAGAATCCTCACACGCAGGATTGCTGGGGGTATGAGCCGTCCGTTCTCTGATGTGATATAACCTGTTATGTCTGCTCCTCACCCGCCAGACAAATGACAAATAGTACATTCTTGGGATACTCTGAAGTGAAATGATTAAGTGATCTGGCAGGTACACTGTGCGTATTGTGTGTTCTGTGTGCTTGATGTGATTGGATTTGTTTGTATGGGGTCAGAGATAAAACTGGGTGTTTGGCGGTGATGTAAGAGGATCAGAGGCCCTGGAATCTGGAAGTTTCTTAACAGCACTAATGCAGAAAGCATTCGCTGCTTATGTGTTTGAATGTATTCAACAGGTTCAGGTGAGACAGATTATTAAAAGTCACTGTCCAAACATCTGAAGCCGTATGGCAGGATATTATTGCATAATAGTAATCAAAAGCAAATAAAAGAGTAACCGCTGTATTGAGCAAGAGCATGTTGATTATTAATAGATTAAAATAATTCCTCTAAATGAGCCGGGATTCTGAGTACACCATGAACCTGATACGAGGTTCATTTCAAGGTAAGTTGCTAAATGTTTGATGACACTTGAGTGGAAAGTTTGTTTTTTTTTCTTTTCATGGCAATAAAAGCGTAAAGATTAGCAAACAAGGTCAAAGTCAGATGCTGACCATGTTTTACGCCACAGCAGTGCCAGAACAAATCCTGAAGGAGATCATAAAGCCGAGATAAGAGCATGCTGTCCACAGAAGACTGAGGGAGAGCTGGACTATGATAACCATATGAAGTATGACACACCTGCAAATGAAAAAGCTGCGTTTAATATCAGACATCTCGATGTGTGATATTGATACAACCACACACCTTTGTCCCGTCACTGTCTTTTTACTGTCTACAAGGTCTTATTACTCATAATATTTGGGTTTAAAATAAGACCAAGGACATCCTGTGCCATCAGTAACAACTCTCTCCTGTCTCGAACTTCTGCATTCATCTCCTTCAGTGTGATTTTTTCACGTTTACAAGCTGAATCAGATGATTTTCTAAACTCGTCTATCCTATCTTATCTTATCTTGTCTTGTCTTATCTTATCTAAAATGTGTTTGTGCTTATTTATGCCCAAAGGGGTTATGGTGCAGTTAGAAGACTTAATTTTGAATAATTACATAAGATCATCCTCATCTTTCCTCTCTGACTTTCCATCACACAGACGCATTTCCATTGTCTGACTTTAGCAGCTCTCTCAAATCCTCGGCAGCCGCAGCATCAAGCTTCTTATCACACATCGGGGTCACAGCAGCGATGGGCATGGGATTAATTGGCTTCCTCTGTCACACCAGCATTCTTTAAAGACTGATCCCAGATGAGCCTGAATCTCACTTCAGCTTTCCCATCAACTAAACCCTCTCTTATAATATCTCAAAATTCAGGGGCATGGCAGAGTGGCTGGTGTGTTGTTGAGAAGCAATACTGGGCTATGAAGCCAACCAAAGCGTTGAGATTACTAGCATATAATCACACCTCGCTGTGACAGAAGTCAGTGAATAACGCTGCAGCTGCTCTTACCGCCCCGCTTTCTGAGCCCCCCTGCTTTGGCTCTGTGTGTCTGTCACTGCGGATCTGCGGATCGATGTAGCATTGGGGGGGGGGTTAATGGGAAGCCTGTCTGGCCAATCTTGGCCTCACCTAGCTAGGCTGTCACTGGCATCAGCCCACCTTCGAATACAAATTATTGGATAAAAGGGTTTCACATTCCTCTGCTGGGATTGGCCAATCGCATCGCTGGGATGACATCACAGGCCCAGTGCTGCAAGAAAATGCTTAGGGGTCCTTGTCTGAGACAAATCCTCCAAGGATATGCCGGGGTTTAAAAGTCAATATGAGCTTGTTCTCCAGTGACCGTAAACACAGGCTTGAAAGGGTAAGGGTTAGCCACAACAGGCACGTCTGTGACATCTGATTGATTGGCCTGTGTAAATCATCAATTATTAACTTGCTCTACTATGGCACGATGTGACTGGAAGGTGGAATAACACCTTGCTGTTGTTTCAGGTCGATTGCACTTCATCCCTCTCTATCAGAGGACACTGAACTCGGGTTTGTTTTGCAATAACATGTAATCCTGTACCATGGAATGCCACAGCTCTTGGACCAACTGAGGTGTGTGCTCATTGGGTAATTTAGAGCCTTGAGAGTGTGCTTTACATGCGTATATATTTTCTTAGCTGCACTACATGCTCCACAGTACACCCTAGTGTGGGCTGAAAGCTTGGTGCAAGGTTTTTTAGTGGATAGGTCATTGCAGTTCAGTTCATCTCTGTTCCTCTGCACTGCTGAGGAATATATTGCATAATTAAAGAAATACAAGTGAAAAAGGATTAGGGTTCTTCTGTTGGACCCTTGTCTGCCTTATTCTTATCAGGGAGGATTACATGAGTCCATCAGGCAGTGCA